AAGTGAAAGTAATAAAAAAATACCTATTTACTAGTTACTGTCGATCATTTCTCGAAATGGGTATAAATAGTCCCCCTTAAAAGAGCCTCAGCGAAAATTGTATCCATTTCTAAATATATTCTAAATTTATGGCGCACCACTTAATATCAGCTAACGGCCCCCAATTTATTAGCCAAATTTTCAAAGAGTAATGTTTAGGGCTTGGCATCCGCCACCTAAAGATGATCCCTTAGAGACAGTCAAATGCACCACTTAGGGAATATCAGATAACGGTCCCCAATTTATCAGCCAAATTTTCGAAGAGTGGTGTGTAGGGCTTGGCATCCGCACCTAATGATTATTCCTTACAGACCATGGTCAAATATTACCGAGCGCATAAACAGGAATATTATTAAAATCATACGTAGTTACTTACGTAATCATACGTAGTTTGGGGAAAAATAATTACCCCCTTTGACAAACTGTTCTCTGTCCAGAAAATGGAGGCAGAATTTAAACTAAATGATATTCAGAAAAATATTAACGAGGCAATAAGAAACTCAGACACAGCCAGAGAAAAACAGAAATTATATTATGATAGGAAAAGAGGTTTCGATTTTAAACCAGGAGATAAGGCCCTGAAAATAAAAACATTCGTTGCCTTCCGCCCCGCTAGAAAAAGTGTCCAAATTTTACCCCAGATTTGAGGGGCGTTACGTTATTGAGTGTATTTGTGGTTCGATTTTATACTTAAAAGAAGACAGAGCAAGCAATATCACTGCTAATGTGGATCAACTCAAGAAATACTATGGCCGTAACGATATGCCTATTTTTAAAGATATTTTACAAGAAGCACCAAACACAGGTGAAGGGCCTTCAACATCGAAAATGCTTTTGCCAAGAACAAAAAGGAAAGAATCCAGAGTGCTGAAGCCAGAAGGAAAGAAACGTCAACATGATGCACCATGAGGCATTAACAAACGAACACTAGAGCCAGCGCAAAAGAGGACCAAGTCAGCCAGAAAAGAGGGCGAAACAAGACCCTGTACAATATCTATCATCAGCCGAATGGGAAGAAAAAGGCAATTAATACATCAGAAATCACGAATTCAGCCACCAAGGAACGAGGTCAAGAACAAGATGCCAACTCAAGTACTACAGCGGAAACGCCGAATACAAGAGGAACATTCTAAGAGTAAGAAATTACTGAGAAACCAAGGAGCTCCAACAACTGACCAGGCAAGAGTTCTCCGACCAGACTAAGGAACTTCTTCAGGCACAACTCGCAAATGTCCAGCATCTCTAGATATATATCAGCGCCAAAAAAAGGTGGCGTGGGAAAGGAAAGCAGGAGTGAAACGAAAACAGTCGGCTACAGGGAGTAATGGAAACGACCAGCCACGGCAGAGAATTAGAGTCCAGCAGATGAGTCAAGTCCCGCCATGGGAAGAATTTCTAAAGAAAAGAATGGATTTCGTGAAAATTATCCTATTTAAGTTTATTTTAAAACTAGTAAGAAGTTGATAGAAAATATTTATTTCAGTTTTGCTTCGGGCAATGTTTATTTATATTTATGTAAGAATTTTTAATCTTTTGTATTAGGCAAGTAGCTTAAAATTTTGTATGAAACAAGAAACTTTAGCCAATAAACTTGGTTGACTTAGAACGAAATGTTTAATCGAAGAGACTGTCTTAGGAAATGCTTTTAAGTTTTCAAGAAACAACTTCGATACTCACAAACTTTAGGAAATAGTTGCATATAATTAAATTGAGTTTGTTTTCAGCTAAGAAAGTAAGAAGTTATTTATGTAAAAATGTTTGAACTGTTAAATACTTAAAGTATTTTCGCATGCTTGAGAAATGGGCTTTGAATGAAACAGTAACCTAAGTTAGCTGTGAATATTATTAAAATAAAGTAAAATTAATTTAGAATGAATGTAAAGTATATGTTAGGCTCCCAAGCCATCACTAAGTTCATTTTCATTGGAGTTAGCATCTCAGGTGGAGAACTGATTGTAGGGTGTTTCTCTCAGGTCTAGGTTGTCTAGGTTCTAACAAGTAGATGTGGGGTAGTTGGAAGTGTTGTACGCATTCTACATGAAGCACACTCACACATGCAGAACACCATGCCGGAGAGCAAGGGGGATCTTAAATTGGGCGGAAAGGATGAAATGAGCAAATGTCCCCATGAAAGAGCAGATTTAACTGTTTAAAATGTGTCTCAATGTGACTTTTTGTGAAACAAGTTCTAAACTATTTTCCTTCCAGACACCTGGAAGGAGTCGACCTAAGAAAATACTAAGAAGAATTGTAATCTTTGTGCTACGTTGCTCGTCTGTAAAAGTTTAAATTATGAAAGTTAATACTGAAATTGTAAAGGTTGGCTCACATTCAGATTTAGAATTTAAATATGTCATGAAGGCCTTTTAACCTCTTCGTCGCCCGTAACACGTCTAGCGCGTTCAAGTGAAACTTCCGCAGGGTGGCCGTAATGCGCTACAAGCATTCTTCTACATTTTAAAACTTTTAAACGTTTAAAACGCTTTTTAAATGTTTACTTGAGTTTTTATTTTTGTTTGTTCTAATATCTCCTAAAGGGCAGTATTAATCAGGCATTCTAATTGAATTCCCCCCGAGTTTTACGAATATTCGCGCCATTTTACATAAGACAGTGACTACTCAGCAGAAAAGAGAAACAACGAGGTTGTGAATTGGAAAGGCAAGAAGGATATACGTTTGATGAGTACAGCCCATAATAACTCGATGATTGATGTTGGAACATGGAAAAAAAACTGTAAAAAAACCAATAATTGTAAAAGATTACAACAACAAAATGGGAGGAGTGGACCGCCTGGAACATATGCTATCAAATTATCCTGCTGTTAGAAATAAGCAGAGATATTATTTTTCCATTATGCTTTATTTCCTTATAATTTTACTTAATATTCATTGACATTTATCCACTACGAAAGTTATGTATGGAAAATTATGATGTACAGAGAAAACAGCATTACACGCTATGAAAAACAGACGGCTGCTGGGGTGAAATTTTCGCAGTCAGGAGAGGACGGCGAAAGGGTTTAAGCCTTGTTATGCGAGAGTTAAATTCTGGCGAGGAAAGACGCTGAGTTTCTTTAGTTCAACTAACGTATTGCTCAAATTTTTGTTATTTTCCTGAACTCATCAACTTCCACCCGCATTTCCTCACCAGGATGTAAATTTAAAGTTAAGTGAAGTGAGTATTTAAACGGGTGAATCTCGAAGTTTATTCATGCCGTGTATATTTCTCGGAGTTAATCTCGGAGTTTATTCTTCTCGGAGTTAAGTGTGTTTTTGCTAGCCAGCGTACGTTTCGTTTCTGACCTTGCTGTTACGCTGATACGCCTTTTGGCCATTTGAATAATTATCCGCCTGCTAGCTTTGTCGAGTCAACCTAGCTACCAGTAACTTAGAAGTGCTAATCTAGCACTATTCTTTTTAGACTTGAATTGATTCGAGCTACAAATTCTTAGTTTCCACCGCAAGCTGTCGATGTTATTGTAAAGCACGAAGTACGTGTCTTTTCTGTTCATGAAAATAATAAAGGTTTATTTTCCCCTTCTTCTGTGCTGATATTATTTCACACCTGTGCGAGAAGTCGCCAGGTTCATTAACAGGATCTAGATTAGTTTATGTGGCCAAATAGAATAAGATTCTATAAATGGAAAGGGTGGAATAAATCTTCAGGGTCAGAGTTGTTTCAAAGGGATTGTTACCTCACAGATCATTAACAACAGCAGATATCTTTTCGTGGGGATATTCAGAATAGTATGTATATGCAAATAACCTCTGTACTGATGAGGAATCCCTGTTCTAAGGAGAACAATGCACTGGAAGTTAATATAATTCCCCGGAACATTCTGCAATGCAGTTCTGATAATATGTGCCATTGCATTAATGTATGTAAATAGAAAAAAAGCTCATCTTTGAACATTTGCTACTGTTGTACATGAACATGATTTACATTCACCTGAAATTACATATTTTCAGTTATTAAAATGCTATTGTAAAATAAAGAGTATACAGTCAAAAGTCGTCAATTCGGACACCCATAATATGGAATGATCTATAATCCGGACCTCAAAACTAAAAACTTTCTGCGCATGCGCCGCATTGGCACATGCGCAAAGGCGTTTTACGCGTGCGCGTAAGACCTTGACTACTGCGCATTTGCGTGTGCGCAAGTGCAGAATACGTTTTCGCCTGCGTGTTTAATGTATAATGGACGGTGTAAGCTAAAATTATCTAATTATCTATTTCAGTTAATGTTAATCATTGCATAATCTTCGAATTGGATCCCGCTTATTATTTTTTGCAGACTGTAAGAGCAATTTTATAAAAGTAAACTTGAACTTTCGATTATGTCAAATAGAATTTCCAATGCTGGAACTTCCAAAGGATCTACAAAACGAAAGTATGGTTCATTGTCCAACAAACAAAAAGTGTAATTGCTGCAAAAAATGGATAAAGACATGAAGAATGTGACAGAGAGGTTAGTGAAAACGAAAAAATTTCGATTGACAAGTTAGTTGGTATTCTCGGCACAGCAATTAACGGGGCTTGAACAGGGGAACTTTGTAACTGAACAAGAAATTATGTCTGTTTATAGAATTATAGACTTTTGACTTTTTAAAACGAAGCAACTTAAACAACTTACATTGAAGGAAATGTTTAATAAAGTAAACAAATAAATATTAAGTTTTTTTTTTTTTTTTTGTAAATTTTGACACCCTTTAGATCATAATTGTTCTTTATTTCATAAATTATGGTTTCATATTTTTAATTTTAGAATTTCTGCATGCCATCTTACGAGATTTAAACTGATGATCTACAATCCGGAAAAATCGATAATCCGGAATCGCCGAAGTTACGACGAGTCCGGATTAACGACTTTTGACTGTATTAACTTTCAGACTACACAGTATTTATAATCATAATAATTAATTTTGTTTTTTAAACTTAAGTTCTGTAAATATTCTTACCTGTAAGAATTTTCATCAATATTCACTAAATTTTTCCTGAAAATATAAACTTCTTTTAAAAGTAACCATAGATTCATTGAGGTTAATTAAATATTGATGCAATATGAACGTAATAAATATTACATTATTTAATGCATATGAGTAAAACAATGAATTAACACATAGCTATAAAATACAAATACAATGGTACCTCAATATATGTCCGTTTTAAAATAAGTCCAACTTGATATACATTTCGTTTGGACTTGACTTGAGAAAGAGGAGCACCAGACTACGATGTCTGCACTCTCTTTAGGATCTGATGAGGAGTTTGAAGAAGACATAATTTCATTAATCAAGGAAATCTTTGCCAAATGGATTGGATATCGAAAATTTTCCTGTGAAGTATCATTATAACAAAGGCATAACGGCGCTGTCTAAAATGACCAAACAATGCCACATTTCCGAAATATCCTGAGAAGAAGGGTGAAGAAAAATTCTTTGGACAGATTTTTAGTAAAGGTCAGAATAAATAATTCTCAACCAGATCCAAATGAGGACCTGAGACAAGGAAAGTGAGAAATAATTCTGGTAAATTTTCATTTATGCACAGTATTTATTTCACTTACTGTATTTGTATTTAACTGATTTTCAGATTTATGAACACTTTTATGAATAATGTTATATTAATAAGAACAGGATTTGTATGAGAACAAATTAATCATTTTCCCTTTATTTCTTACTGAAAAGTTTACTTTCAGTAAGAATCTGGAAGTCCAAGAATCTGGAAGAGATTAATGACATATACCAAGATACTGCAGTAATTCACAGTAATAATATTTAATTTCATAAGAATTTATTATTTAATTTCACAATATTTTAAACACTAAAAAAATAGAACTCAAGCAAATAAGTCATGCAGAAATTATTTAATTACCATAGTGTAATCTGTTTTGTCTATTTTATATATTATCCTGTTATTAAGTTTCATTTTTAATAAAATTGAATAGAATGGGTAAAAGCAAAACTTTGTGATATTAGCTATAAATTGTCTCATGTCATCAAATCGAAAAAGAAGCCACTGGGATCTGAATTGTATTATAAACTGCAAATATGCATTTAAAAGTAATAATATATCTAAAAATAATACATGCAGATTATCATAAATAAAATTAAACTTAAAAAAAAAAAAAAAAAAAAAAAAAATTTCAGATGCAGAAAGTGACCTTAATGTTAAAAGTGTCGAAGAATGTAAGCTGAGTATTGAAGTCTGAAATCAGACTGTTCAAACATTAAAAAAATGTAGAAACTGTTTACAAGCAGTACTGAAGCTTTCCTGCAGATGTACGATGCGGATTATGGATAAATAAATACAAGGGGGCAAGGAATGTGAACACGAGCTAGTGAAAAGAATGAAGTCAATGAGAATCAAATTAATATTAATATGAAAACAATAAAAACTAAATGTATGGAAGTTCACTTCATGAAAATTTTTTCAAGAGCTAAAGATTATACAGCAGCATTACTAGGTTTGGATGTGGTATTAAAATTTTATGGTATAGAAGAATTAAACTGATCATAAGGCAAATAGGTGTTTTATCAAAAGAACAGGCTTCTGCAAGCAAAGAGGGGAGAGTATGCGGGACAAGACCCGTATGAATCTACCATCTGGCTAAATTGCAGGTATTCAGTAAATACTGATCTCAGCAATCTACAAGTTTGGTTTATGTGATTATAGCAAAGCCTCAAGGACTATTTGCTTAAGGAAAGAGATGCCTTCGTGGAGGACTTTTAAGGGAAACTAGCTCGTGTACATGTTACACATGGGAAAATCCATGAAAACATTCCATGCAGCCAGCTCGTTCGTGGGATTCGAACGTCAGACAAAACTACAAGTGTTCAGCGACTTTACCACTTTGCCGCTGGTGGGACCCAGCAATCTACAAATTGATACCAACAATATAGCTATAGAAAAACATAAAATATTTTAGTTTAAAGATTTTGATAGCACCGGATTTTCTGACTTGAATGAAAATAACTTTTGCTATGTTAATAATTTGGTACAAATTTTAGTCATTAATTATTAAACAATAAATGTTTTTGTGCTCTGAAAAATAAAAAATTATCCACATGAAAAACATTACTTGATACAGTAAATGAAGCCACATTTTCTTACTTTCTTTCATTGTTTTTTAATCACCTGTTATAGAGCTTTGAATTTCAGAGCTGAATTAGGCCATTGTATGATAGGTTGGTTCTTTTTTTATATGTTATTGTCATAAAAATTTGTACATTAAGAGGTACTTGTGGGATCATAACAAAACGTAAAATCAAGGTATGTGTCATGCAGATGCGTAAATAAATTGTGATTGTTCATTGCATGATGTCACCATTTTCTCTCTTGCACATAAAAAAGGTACACAGAAGCATTTGCTGTAGTCAGTCCATTGCAGAGGGATGACTTTTTACTAGGGATGTTTTTGCATTAACATCGAAGATAAAATGATCAGCTGTTAGAGTTTGAAAGATACAGAACCATTGGGATGATAGAATCTAGGTGGTCAGCTCAGAGAGTATCCTGCCACTCAGACTGTTTGTACTTTGCTAGCAGGAGAAGTTTGAACCAATGGACGATAGAGATTATATGCATGGCAGCCAGGCTAAGGATATCTTCGGAAAACAATAGCCGAGCCTTTGAAATCCTTGCCCTCTCTTGCCTCTCATTATGAGTCTCTGTACATACTATTGCAGAAGCATCAAGTTGAAGTGCATTTGGGATTGTGGCACCCATTATTTGAACAGTCAATGACATCCATCCATTGTCAGCTCCATATGGATTAGTGTTGTGCTCAGTGTAATTGGATTGCAACTGAATGGAAGCAGGCTGATTTCAGCGCAAAACTAAAATTCATTTTTGGTAATGGTTACAATTGTATAAATATTTGACAACCACATACATACACAGTAAATGCCTTAATCCTGCTCCTGCTATATTATGGCACACTACTCTCATAGTTCATTTCATGTTATGGGATACCACTGCATTTAACACCAGGTCACCTTGAACCATGGCACCATAACAGTCCAAAGGCAAATCTGTGGCACCTTTCCTTAGGAGGCATTTTTCAACAACATAATTCTGGGACATATTTCAAGGGTATCCCTGAAATGCCTCTGCCACATTTCCTGGCTTCCTTTATCCTCCAATTTGTTACCAATTGACCATGTCAGGGATCACACAGGATGGCAGCCTAGGAGTTAGACAGCCTAGGAGTCTAGGAGTCTGGTGAAATTACAGGCACACTTACACCAACTGTGAAATGAGATGATGCAGGACATCTATGCCACAATGCCCACCCATATTGCATCATGTATTCAGACTAGAGGTGGCCCAAAAGGGTACTAGAACCTCCACTCATTTGTAGCTTTTCCTGTAATAAATGATTCCATCTGCTTTAATTTTGTAAACAGTTACTTATATCACCACTGTATTTACATATATAAAGTTTCATTTGATTCTGACAACTCTTACCTTACATGTAGATTTTTATGGCAGTAAGCGTCACCTCACAATAAAGTTCTTTCAATTGAACGAGACCGCATTATATTTTTCATCAAAATTTTGATAAATAGCATGCCAAAATTTTCGAAATTAGAGGCCAAAGATTCTTTACTCCTAAGATAATATATCCGTTTTGTAAGTTGGATTGTAAGTTTTGTAAGTTACATTGTAAGTTGGAGCACTCAACAAAAGTAATACATACACTAATATTAAATCTGTTTATAAGGTTGAAAATAAAAATAACAAAATAAGGTTAAAAAGATAAACAACCAAAAAGGTTGTTGTATCAAAAATAAGGATGACAAGAATAACCTGTAGTAATAAATATTAAAATTATTTCAAACATTTAAAATTTATCAAAGAATATTGCAGTTTTTAAAAGTTTTTCCACACACTCTTCCTCTGTGATCTTTGCCTGGTGAGCCAGTTCATTCCTTAGAGCATACATAATTACAATATTTCCTGTGCAGAAAATCATCAGTGACATCAGTGCTGGTGTCAACTGATCACTAAATGTGTCAATGTCAACTGTCTGCTGACATCAGTGCTGATGTCAACTGAACACTGATGTGTCAATGTCAATGTCAACAGCCAGTTGCATTTAATGCTGATTGTTTCTTGAATATTCTTGTACTTAATTTTCAGCTTTTAATGAATAAATAATAAGTTGTTAATTAATATCTGGCAATAGCCACCAGGAATATTTTCTAACAAAATTAGTTTTATCAATGCTCCATAGAAAAATTATTAGAAGGAATATATTGATGTTTTCTTTTATGCTTTTTAATTAAAAAAATAATTGTTAAACTCTCGAGGAGTTAAATTATATTCTGAAGTTTTTAGGATGGTTTGCTAACATATAAAAGTTATTTACATGTAAACCACAGGTTGTGAAATACAGCTTTGCAAATAATTATCTTATTATAATAGAGTACTTACAGTGATAAGGTTGAGACTGATAAAATTTTTAATTTATCTAAAGACAAACCAAGAGGACTTCTTTCTATAGTCTTTAACAAACCTCCAGCTGCTTTTACCTAAAAGGTATTAAAGGTCACCATTCATTATACAAAATGTATATATAGTTGAATATAAAACAAATAGTTTATCCTTACTTTTAAAAACTGAGTAATCTACACAAATTAAAATGGTTATTTATTTTTAAGAATTTATTCTCATAAGTCACATTGTATATAATAAAGAAAGGTCTTGCTCAAAATGAAAGAAAACTCTGATGAAAAAATTACTAGAAGACATAGTTATTCTGCGAAAGATTATATATGGCAATGGATTGGGAAAAGTAACTGAAAATCATTTCCAGAATTGGCATTAATGATTAATTAAAAATTTTGTCATAATAGCTAAAAAGACAATAAGAATAAGAGTGTTCCTAGAAAGAGGGAAAAAGTTGCGAACAAAATGCCAGACATTCCGATCATTCACAATCTTTAAATAAATTTTTAAAATCAAAATATTAAAAATTCTTCAGTAAAAGTTAGATTAAAATTTAAAGTTATGACTGCTATAACAGATTTAAAAGTTATAAATTAAATATATTTATTATGATTTTGTTGAAATTCTCTCCTTTTTTATAAGATATTTGTCATAGTTTGCGAAACTGCTGAATGAGAGCAAAAAATATACGGTGAAGGACGTAATAACTCACAGCTGCATTCTGATGTGACTTCCTGTTCTCCAAAGCACAATTAATATATATGGAGAAAGCACTGAAGGAACATTTTAAAAGTTTAAATAATGATGAGCAAAAGCACTTATATACAAACATTTTGATCCTATATACTGCTGACTGTCAATAATTTGCTCTTGTGCTTTGATATTTAAAGTATACTAGATGGCATTTTATAACTGAAACTAATTTTGTAACTCGGGTTTTAACGAAAGTTTCCTGCCACTGCAAATATCGTTCGCAATGGCATGTTTAATCATATTTTGTCAAACAATTTTTAGAATTTGAAAGAAAGAGACTTGCTCTAGAACATTGTGTTGTGAAATTTGTAAAACAAATATTGTTATCATTGAATACAAGGTACCTGCAATGGAATAATCCCACTACCAAACTAGAACCATCATTTGCTTCCAGTTCTGTTTCAAAACGTCAACTACAGAATGTCACCAAATCATGTGTAGAGCTTTAGGTACTAATATTGTATCATACGACACTGTGGAGGTTAGGTACCGAAAGTTTAAAAACAAGGACTATGATATTCAAGAAGCAGAGTGCTCTTGCCGGCCTACTGATGTTGATAAGGCATGCCTGCGTGAACTTGCGGAAGAAGATCAGTATACAATCAATCGAGATCTTGCTAAAGAGTTAGAATTAGTGCCATGTCAATTAGTCGAGCTATGCATGGCATAAACGTGACGTACAAATTGAATCTCTTGGTGCCGCATGAGCTGACTCAAACAGATAAGGACAGACATGTTCGGGCCTGCACTACACTGAAGTGACAAAAGTCATGGGATACCTCCTAATATTTTGTTGGTCCTCCTTTTGCCCGGCAAAGTGCAGCAACTCGATGTGGCATGGACTCAACAAGTTGGTGGAAGTCCCCTGCAGGAATATTGAGCCATGCTACCTATATAGATGTCCATAATTGTGAAAGTGTTGACGGTGCAGGGTTTTGGGCACGAACTGACCTCTCGATGATGTCCCATAAATGTTCGATGGGATTCATGTCGGGCGATCTAGGTGGCCAGATCATTCGCTGGAATTGTCCAGAATGTTCTTCTGACCAATCGCAAACAATTGTGGCCCTGTGACATGGCGCATTGTCATCCATAAAAATCCCATCGTTGTTTGAGTACGTGAAGTCTATGAATGGCTGTAAGTGATCTCCAAGTAGCTGAAGGTATCCATTTCCAGTCAATGATCAGTTCAGTTGTACCAGAGGACCGAGTCCATGTCATGTAAAAACAGCCCAGACCATTATGGAAGCACCACCAGCTTGAACAGTGCCTTGTTGACAACTTGGGTCCATGGCTTCGTGGGGTCTGCGCCACACTCGAACCCTACCATCAGCTTTTACCAACTGAAATCGTGACTCATCTGACCAAGCCACGGTTTTCCATTCATTTAGGGACCAACCGATATGCTCACGAGCACACGAGAGTCGCTGCAGGCGATGTCGTGCTGTCAGTAAAGGCACTCGAGTCGGTCTTCTGCTGGCATAGCCCAAGGACGACAAATTTCGCCGCACTGTCCTATCGGACACGTCCCTCGTACGTCCCACATTGATGTCTGCGGTTATTTGACGCAGTGTTGCTTGTCTGTGAACATAGAAAATTCTACGCAGACGTCCTGGTCTCGGTCGTTAAGTGCAGGTGGTCGGCCACTGCGTACATGGTGGGATGTTATGCCTGAAATTAGATATTCTCGGCACACTCTTGACACTGTGAATCTCAGAATGTTGAATTCCCTAACGATATCCGAAATGGAATACCCATGCGTCTAGCTCCAACTACCATTCTGCGTTCAAAGTCTGTTAATTCTCGTCGTGCGGCCACAATTACGTCAAAGCCTCTTCACATAAATAACTTGAACACAAATGAAAGCCCTGCCAAAGCATTTCGCATTTATACATTTTCTACGCGATACTACTGCCATCTATATATTTGCATATTGCTATCTCATGACTTTTGTCACTTCAGTGTAATCTGCTCTAATATTAGCTCAAGGACAAAATTCTGGACCAGATCGTCACTCGTGAAAAGTGGATTTACATTAACAACACAGGCCGAAAAGGTGGTTGGTCTGCGCGCAGTGAACCCATCGGCAGTGTCGCAAAGTGCAATTTGACTAACAAAAACATAATGCTTTGTAGTTGGTGGGACTGCCATGGTATTATCCACAAAGAGTACCTGGGAAAAGGTAAAACTCTCATCAGTAAGGTGTACAGCGAGATGCTAGTCCGTATTGACGCTGCTATCAAGGAAAAACGTCGAAGTGATTTCCGCGCAAAAAATTAATGTTCCATCAAGATAATGAAAGACCACATGTATCTGCATTCACCGGCTGTACTCGCTCGATGGAATCTTCTGCCACACTCACCATATATCCCCGGACATTGCTTCTTTGGATTTCTACCTTTTTCATACCTGAAGCTACATCCTGCTGGTGTTATCTTCTATTCTGCACAGGACGTCCGAAATGAGGTTGATCTGTTTTTGGAGTCGCGGCCACCAAGTTTCCAATCTGAAGTCTTTGAAAAACTACCAAAATGTTGGCAGAAAATCATAGATTTTGGTGGTGATTACTAGTCGTACTAAAGTTACTGCTTTCATGTTTTTTCCTTAACTTTATTAACTTTTTGGAGGAAAACTTTCAATACAACCTGATATAATTTGGAGCTGTTAAAATACACCCTGAAATGATTAAAATTACCTGAGATTTCATTAATTGTTAAAATTATATTTCAAAATGTAACATTTAATGAAATTCAGTTTTCTTTGATCTCTAAACCGAGCAATAAGATAGTACACAATTGGTTCAAGTGACTTTCTAGAGACTGAAAATCACTTAAAAATGACAAAGGACTGAGACCTATAAAAAAAAAAAAAAAAAAAAAAAAAAAAGAGACCAAACAAATAAGCAGTTGACAGTTGGGAAATTTCTGAGAGAGCCAGCAAGTCTTATGGCATCATTCACAGCATTTTAAACAGCAGATCTAAGCAAAAAGTGAGTGAATGAAATATTTATTCCATGTGGTTTTGAAGTAAAATGAAAGCAAAAACATGTGACATGTTTATTGGCATTACACGAACATGACATTTTAGATTCATGAAATATGACTACATGAGATGAAATTTGAGTTTACGATTAAGACTGTGAGAGCAAAATGAATGGAAATCATTTTCACGTGGAAAAGTGCACCATACAAGATCAAACATCAAGGTGATATTCATTGCCTTTTTCGACTTTGAAGCAATGCAATTGTGTCTCTTTAAATACTAACATAAACTTTGAATATTATAAGAGTTTATTATGTAGAGTCATTAGGATTTTTTTTTTTTTTTTTTTGATGCCGGAGAGATGAAAATTTATCAATCGCCTTCGCCGGGAATCGAACCACGGACCTCTGGAATACCAGCCCAGCGTGAAGAACCACTACACCACGGAGGACGCTAGGAAAGTGGGAGAAATACCTTTATACTCCCCATTTTAAAGGGCGACTAAATCCTGGGTGCAGAGAATCATCATCCACAACCCTTTTTAGTTCGGGCGCCACATGTAAAGTCATTAGGATTTTTTTTTTTTTTTTGGAGGCCGGAGAGATGAAAAATTAGCAATCGCCTTCGCCAGGAATCGAACCACGGACCTCTGGAATACCGGCCCAGCGTGCAGAACCATTACACCCCGAAGGATGCTAGGAAAGTGGGAGAAATACCTTATAATTAGTCTCTAACATTGATATGCATTAAAAAAAGAAAAAAATCATTCTTTCATCCCAAAGCTCACTCTAAAATATTACTTCTGGTATGGCAATTCCTGTCAAATAGAATTTCTGCCTTTGAATATTGAAATTTAAATTTAAATCTGAAATTTAGGGCATATGAAATAAAAATGTTTGTTATGGGATAGCAATCTGAAGACTTGCACTGAAGAGTCAAAACATTATGACTACCTACTCAATATGACGTTTCGCAACCTTTGGCCTGCAAAGCAGCTGCATCTCGCCTTGGTAACGGATGCCACAAGTACTTGGTAGATGACTGGAGACAGGTTGTACGAAATGTCTAATCGGCGGTCACGCAAATTCAAGATATTCCAACATGGTAATCTGAGTTCTAAGCTGCCGCTTCATGACATCTTAAATGTGTTCCATCGGATTAAGATCCGACGAGTTAGGTGGCCAAGACATTAATTGGAATTCGTCCTTATGCTTCTCGAACCACTTCAACACAATTCGAGCCTTGTGACATGTGGCGTTTCTGCTGGAAGATTCAATTTCCAGTTAAGAAGACAGACAAAATGTAAGGGGGCAACTATCCTTTATCTGCAATTATGTTCAGACAGATG